CCCCTCCAGGACCCTTCCCTGCTCCAGCTGCCCCAGCCCAGCTCGCTCAGCCTGGCTCCAGAGCAGAGCTGCTCCAGCTCTCGCAGCAGCTCCGGGGCCTCCTCTGGCCTCGCTCCAGCAGCTCCACGTCCCTCTTGTGCTGTTCCCCAGAGCTGGGTCAGGGCTGCAGGGGGGGCTGTCTCAATTGTCAAAGACTCAGAGGCAGATGTTCAATTTTAGGTGGTGTTTGCATACCAAACTAGTAGGCACAGAATAAGAATAAGCCTTGAGGAAGACTGCAACTCCTGATCAGCCTGTTCCGCATTTGTTTTCCCTGGCTTCTGTCCTGTGTGTTGCCTCTGAGCCATCCCACATCAGCACTAACATCCTTCTTCCAGTATGGCCCATCCTGTAATGTTTGTGCTTTGTCCTTGGTTTTCATCCACGCAGACACCCGCCTTGGTTTTGCTCAGCATTCCCAAGCTGTAAAGAATGAGCAAATCTTTCCCAAGCAAATCTCAAGCACAAAAAAAGGGCTGTTGAGTTGTCATTTTAACTTGCCATCCCCAAGAGCTTTTCTTCATAGCATCAGAGAATGCTTTGGGGTTTTTGGGTTACTTGCTGTTGTTTGGTTTTCTTTAACAATCCATTTCAATAGACATTGCTGTTCTGGTTCTGATTTTCAATGCTGCTAAAAGTTGCCCAACGATGCCTGCCCTGTTCTCTGATCACACGTTCAGACATTATGCCTACCTTCGGGACAGCCTCTCTCATCTGGTCCCTCCCTTAAGAGTAAGTTGAACCACTTTGCTTTGGTTTATTCATAACCTCTGTTATGACTGTTGCTGGTCTCTTCCATGTGTGTCATGCAATCCTGGAATGGTTTGGGTTGGAAAGGACCTTAAGATCATCTAGTTCCAACCCCCTGCCGTGGGCAAGGATACCTCACGCTTCCATGTGTGACACTTTGATCCTAAAAGCTTTTTCTTCCAAGCACCACCCAAATGAGTATTGAAATGTACATTAAATAAGGAGAGCCAAATATTAAGTTGTTACAATATGGATTTTGTAATATTTCGGTGGGGATAAAGATGTTACTGCTCTCAAATGAGAATAGCACATGGTTTGCTGATTAGGAAGGAATCCTGCAAGGGTAAGATTCCTGGGAGCTTTCTGTGTGGGGAGGGGGAGCTTATCCTTTGTAGCTCTCCCAACATTGACTTGTGTCCTACCTAAACAATTTGCTTATTGAATCCCAGACTGGTTTGGGCTGGAAGGGATCTTAAAGCTCCTCCAGTTCCAACCCCTACCATGGGCAGGGACACCTTCCACTAGAGCAGGTTGCTTCAAGCCCCTGTGTCCAACCTGGCCTTGAACACTGCCAGGGATGGGGCAGCCACAGCTTCCTTAGACAGCCCATTCCAGTGCCTCAGCACCCTGACAGTAAAGAACTTATATCCAACCTAAATCTCCCCTGTTTCAGTTTGAAACCATCACCCCTTGTCCTGTCACTCCAGTCCCTGATGAAGGTCCCTCCCCAGCATCCTTGTAGCCCCCTTCAGACACTGAAGCTGCTCTGAGGTCTCCAGCAGCTTCTCTTCTTCGGGCTGAACAGCCCCAACGTTCTCAGCCTGTCTCCATACGGGAGCTGCTCCAGCCCCTGATCATCCTCGTGGATGAGATGTTTTCCCTGCTGCTTTGAAGCCTGTTTTTCCTTCATGGAAGTACAGGTGGGACTTAAGTTGGTCATAAGTCTTGTTGCAGCTCATAAAGTCCATTGCAGTTCGTGTGGTCTTGGACTCCTCTTGACTTGACAGTGTCAGAGTTAAGGTGAGGAAGATGTTTCACTCGGGAATGTTGAAGTTTAACCTGAGGATCTCCAGCTGTAATTAGGTTACAGATGGGGAGTATTAACTAAGATGCAGGCTCGAAAGCCTTGACAGAGATTCTGAATAGGAGAAATGAGCTGGAGCTCTCAATTGGAAGTTGTTAAACAACCTGACAGCATTTTGCAATGTTGGTACTTCACAGAATCACGGAGTCACAAAATCCCAGGCTGAAGGGACCTCGAGGATCATCTGGTCCAATGTTTCTAGGCAAAGCATGACCTAGACTAGATGCCCAGCACCCTGTGCAGCCCAATCTTAACAATGTCCTATGCTGGGGAGTCCAACAGTTCCCTGGGGAGATTATTCCAGTGGCTGTTTTCTGTGTGAGAAATATTCCTCTTGTGTCCAACTGGAATCTCCCCGGGAACAACTTGTGCCCATCACCATCTTTTCTCCTTGTGTTAGACTTTTCCCTTGGTTATTCTGTGTTTGCATGTGTTTGTTCTTGCTCAGTTGCCAGGCAGGAAGCTGGTGTCCTCCCCTGTCTCTCCCAGCATCACACCACATGAAGATCCTTCGCAGCAGTTCTTGCATCAGAGCCTGGAGAGGGTTTACAACCTTCAGCACCTCGATCCACAGGGCATCCAGGAGCTGCTGGAATTCACCATCCGGTGAGGCTGGAAGCTGACCTGTGTATGGAATATTGTTTGGGAATCCCAGTTGCCTTGAGACAGGTTCTTTGTTTCTGAGTATAGTGGTTGTACTTTGCCATTGAGCACTTAGCCTGAGCCTTCCTCTAGAGAGCATCATGATAACACAACATTCCTGGTCTGCGTAAAACAGAACTGATGGTCCCAGGTCTGGTTCTCCCCCACTGAATGATCAATGTGCATTCTGGGGGGACATCATCTCAGAGCATGGCAAGACCCAGAGAAGGCTCTTCTTGGAGCTGTTTGCTGTGGTAAAATATGCTCTCAGCTTGTATGGTTTATGGGTGACAGTTTGTGTGTCATTCCTAGACCATATTCCTGTGTCATGAGGGTGTGCGGTGTGGCTTCAGAACGTGCGTTTCATGCTACCTCTTCCATTTCACCTCTAGACTGATTCAGACAAACAAAACACTTGAAAAGGATCCTTTCAGTGCAATTCCTCTGCTTGGAAGGAGGAAAAGAGCTTTGTTTTCAGAGTCAGAAGCACAATCTAAAATGCTTTGTTTGGAACATGGCATTCCAAAGAGCTTTATTCTTTTTCATCCCCTCCCGAATAGCTGCCTCTCCTGTGTGTGTAGCTGTGAATTGCTTTCACACCCACCTACAGTGGAGGATAAACAGTGTGCTCCTCACTCAAAACCTAGCTGGGAGAACTACCTGCTTTTCTCTTCAGCTATTTGGAAGCTGCTGCACACAACCTAAACCACAACCTCACAGCATTCCATGCACTAAATGCTTAGAAGAGGTCATCTCTTGGCAGAGCATCCAGAGTCTCACAGGCATGATGAAGGTCTGGAAACCACACAGGCTGTGAATGTTTTCCATTTTGACTGTAGGAATCATGTTGGAGGTGGCTCATGTGTAACTTACGTGCAGCAAAGGACAGTGATGCTTTTTTCCTGCTGGCATCACCACCCAGGAACCAGCTTAAGAGAAAGGAGGATTTAAAACAAAACCAAAAGTGTTAAGGGTTATTTTGCAGAGCGCAAGAGTTTCCTGCACCAACAATTGGAAAGGGATAAAAGCAGCTCACAGCAGTAGATTCTATGGTGGGACATCTCCTCCTCCTTTATTGTCATGGAGCTGCTGTCTACCTGGGACTTAGATTCCTCATCACACTGAAGACTAACACTCACCCCAAAGGCTCTGCAGCTAAAGCTTCTGACCAGATCACTCCTTGTGATCACTCCTTGTGGTTTAGTTTCTCCATCTATACAACAGGATCTTTTTTGTCATGCAGGGACATTGAAACCTATCTGAGATTTGTAAGGAAATAGAAGTAGTGGAATTGGAAACAGCAGAAGACTGGGAAATGGAATATCTGCCTAGCCGAGAGCTAACATCCCTGTTTGTGTGTTGTGATGCATTAAGCAGGACATGGGAAGTAAGCACCCAGGAGTCTCCTCTTCCCTCTGGGATGGAGTCACTGTGTGAGGCTCAGGCTGGCCAAAGCTTCAGAATTGCATCTTAAATGCAAAGATAAATCTGAAAGGAAGAAAAGGAAAGAGTCATTTGAAGAAGAAAATATCCCTTTTAATAATACAGTAGGAAATGTGGAAGCAGAGTGACAATTTTAGTACACTTGGGATCAAAGCAAAAGGCAGTGTTGTATCCACCTCATCCAACCTGTTTTCAGTTCTGTGACAACAAATGAGTTTTGTTTTCTTAATGCATGCTTTTGATTTTAAAACATGTCTAAGAGTAGAGAACTGAAGCTTTCTGCATTCCATTACCTGTCATTTTTCATTCAGTCAGGTTAAAAGCTCCTTCTCTTGCTGTATGATTTACACAACACACAGCAGCAAGTTAGACAGGTATCAGTGTGTTGGGTTGCAGCTCGGTTTAAAAGGCAGCTACACTTCACATTCACTTGGTTGGGTGAGCCTGACACATTCCAAGCACTCTTCCCCAGCCCCTATGAGGAGATGTCCCAGCAGTGGAACACAAATGGGTCCTTAGCTGCTGTAGAGGGGTTTAAGTTCAAGTTGGAACCACTGTGGTTCCCATAGGGCTGTCGGTGATGTGGGTTGACAGTGACACACCACTGCTGTGCTGGTGACCAGGAAGAAAGGACTTGCCAAGTCCCAGGGTGCAAACTGTGTTGTAGTGGGGGTTTTGCTGCTGTTTCTGGTGCTTATTTTAAGGATAAAAGCAGGCTGCAGGAATAGCCTCATTGTTGGTGCATTCTGAGTGCATTTAGATTTAATGTACTTGCTGTCTTAATAGGTTTTCTTTCTTTCTTTTCCATATGCTTCAGTGATCTTCAGAGGCTTGGAGAGCTGCAGTCAGAGCTGGCAGGGATGGCAGACTTCACTGCAACTTACCTGCAGTGTCAGCTCCTCCTCATCAAGGTTTGATTTCACCTGGGGTTTGTTGGGCTGCTCTTTGAAAATGCCCCCATCACAGTGGTGCACTTCCCTGTGGTGATGAAAGAGCAGGGTCTCTGGATTTCTGATCATCCTGCTTCCCTCCTCTGGCACCTCATTTATGCAGTAACTGCCAAGCCCGGACTGATTTGGGTTGGAAATGACCTTAAAGCTGATCCAGCTCCAACCCCCT